GTCAAATGCCCTGTCTGTACGTAATAGGCACCAGCACACATTCAATTATCAAGTAGTACATGTTTCCTCGATCGCTTGGGAAGCAATAATTGCCATTACATCACTTGCCATTTTTAATGAAGTTAATTGCGTCAACAAATAAAGCCCAGGGTTCTTGCTCTGTACTCGTTGGAGAGTTACATCACTTTACACTAAGTGAGAAACGTATCTGGACTGCCAAATAGATTGATAAATTCTGCCTTCACTAATAAACCATCTCGAACTTCTCTGTATTCATCGAAATCGCACTTGATGTATTTGTGCCGAGAGTTTATTGCACATATTAATGTTGTGCTTGTGCTTGACGATTATGTATTCACTGCGTGAGTCTGTGTCATATACAATGTACTATACTTTCAAACTTAATATACTAGTATCATTGTTTACTATCAGATAAATTACATTTGTCTACCCGCCGTGTGACCGTAAGTGTTTGTGTAATGACGTGGTGACAGTCGCTAGCACCAACGGCACTCGTGCGTCGTACCTTCGTTACTCGATTAATTAGTGCTCACGACAATCATTCCCGTGTGAGACGTATTGTGGTGGATACTAGGTGTCAATACTGATTTGTGAGATCGTACCTTACCGCCATTCAGTCAATCATGCATGAATTAACTAACAGCAGGATACAGTTTAACCATTTATTTCTGAACCTATACGAAGTCGACTTATACAGTCGGTTTAAAGCTAAATCACAGGAAGTATGACACCAGTCAACATCGTGCACACTTGGATGGTCCCTAATTCTATAGGTCAAAGCTCAGAGGTCAAAGTAATGTTATCAGTTACATCACGTATATACATTTGGTTCACACGTCGTATAATCACAGTCCCTCCTGTGGTATAATATATTATGCAGAAAACAGATTTCCGACTCTCGCCGAAAGTGCGCCACCAAATGCCAAAAAAACGAGAGGAAGTCATACCCCTGGTCAGTCAATATACTTTTAAACGATATACATTTTTTGGTCGGCGTTTCGTATATATATATATATATATATATATTTTTTAAGACAGAATTTTTAGAAGTTGTTTATGGTGGTTAAACGTTGTGCTGTGGGCGGTTTTATTAAGTTTTTAAGACGTTTATGAGTACGGAATATGATGGGAAGGCCTCACATGATCATGATTCTAAGAAATTTTCATAGTTGTCAATTAATATTTTTTTTTTAATATAGTCCCTATACCTTGTGAGTTTGATTTGAGAGGCACTTTCCATTACAACTGAAGTAATCGCAAAGAGTTTGAACTAAGACAATGTAAGTATTACTCTGATTAGTGATTTTATTTAAGATTTCGGATTTTACATTAAAATATGGTGAATTACAGGGTAGAATTTGATAAATCAATAATGAAAAAAACACAATAACATTATTTTTGCGAGAAATAATTTGACACTTTAACTTTTTTCAAACCAACCCAAAACACGTGATATAGGGCGTCATAAAAACGATGTCTCAACAATTTTCTCTTCGGGTGGCCCTGGATCAGCCAGTCTAGTGGGTGCGCTTCACCAACCGAAGCAGTATCAGAATTCATAAACTACGGCCTACTACAAAATTGAAAAAAACAGAAGGAAATATTGAAAATCTAGAATCCTGTCTGTTATTATCCGCGCATATCACCCACATATCACCGAAATGTACAACGTAGACGAATACGCAGCACAGTGAAACGATAACGTCTGGTGTGTGAAAAGCTGTAGAAATTGGTGGCGCCCTTACTGAAATCTTTTGGTTTTTAAAAAATGTCCCACATAGACCACTTTCCCGGAAGTAGCAAGACTGGGGTGCAAAAATACTCCTACATTGTCATGGAGGAAAATACAAACATGTAAGTTTGCTGATAGTCAATAGAATAGAATTTTATTACTGTGACGTTGATTGGTACACCCAGAAGTACAATGTCACGCGCGCAAGTTAACGTTACACTCCAAAACGGTATGCGCGCGCATGCGAAACGCTGTATCCTCGACTTCCGTGAAAATGGTCTATATGACCATCTATATCAATAAGTAATCTATTCGCCATTCATGAAACTGTAATGGCCACCGTTAAGCCAGCAAACATTCTAAAAACAGACACAAATAAAATAAAATAACAAGAAACAGTGACAATAGTTTTGAAAAATGTTAAGCTAAAACACTTGTGTATTCTATTTTGTGCATTGTTAACTTGATTAAATATTGCTTTTCAAAATCATTTTAGAAAGCCATGACAGCAAATTTGTTCATAAATACAATTTTCCATCTATATTTTTTAGACTAGAAAGCTTTTAAACTAAGTGAAATCTACATAATGAATGAAAGAACAATACCAAAAATAGACACATAAAAATAAGTGATACGCTATGAACAACAGCGAATTTAAGACCATGATTTGCAACGACATTAAAGGAAACATCAACCTAAACAACATAATGACCCCTGGAGAAAAAGCTCCACAAATGTAGGAGAATGCAATTTACAGTTTTTTTATATCACTTTTCATTCTCTAGATATTCAACTTTATATCACTATTATGTAGTCAGCCATCTTGATTCTCAAGCAAAGGATTATGGGTAAAGTATAACATCATAGAATCTGTTGTCAGAAATTGAGAAAATTATTTCATCTATAACATGAGAAATACTGATGCGAATTAGTTCAAATTTTCGTTGTACTTATTACTCATGTATATAATTATAGTAGTGTAAATTAGAATATTACAAATACACATAACGTGAAGGTATTCCTAAAAACTTTAAAAAAATAAAAATCGATATTTTAGTCGTGAAATATAGAATGACACTTTTTGGTCACCTTTTTATGGTCAACATGTAATATATCACCTATATAAGCTACTCACATTGGTAAATTGAATACAATATAAGCAAATTTGAGCATTTGGTAGAAAAACAACTATTTATAAACATGGATGGCACCAGTACATGTATGCTACCAATCTCTAAACTTTCAACCAATCTGAAATTAAACTTTTGAAGTTGTAGATAAAATCATTTTCTCAATTTCTGACAACAGATTCTATGATGTCATACTTTACCCATAATCCTTTGCTTGAAAATCAAGATGGCTGACTACATAATACTGATGAAAAATTGAACATTTGGAGAATGAAAAGTGATATAAAAAAACATTAAATTGCATTCTCCTACATTTGTGGAGCTTTTTCTTTAGAGGTCATTATATTGTTTGGATTGATGTTTCCTTTAAACAGATTAAAAAAACACATCAGTAATGAAAAGAAAATTCAACTTTTCAATATAATCGATGACCTCCTTGAATAAAAGAACACACCAACAAACTCGCTAAAATGAAGGCCAATTTGACTTATTTCTCAATTTCTTTAATGATTAAGTATCAACGTTAAGAGTTGGTATCAGTCGTGGATAAGGTCACTAAAGCTGAAATGATATGTCATTCGCTATGAACACAATTTACACAAACTACTGAGAATAAAATTGCGAAGTTAGTGAGGCAACATCCATCAAAATAATACACTTTAGATACATAGACAGCAGATTTCTTCAAGGCTGCATTGTCAAACTGTCGCAGTTTCTTATTTCAATCATGTCTACGCATGTTCACCAATTGAAACTACATTTTAGAAATTAGGTATCTTAATGACAAATTAATGTTTTATGTTGACCTGGAGCACATTACGTAACAGTCTTGACAGTTTTTCTCTTTGTCTTTCAAAAAATGAAATGATATATGTTCCACATATATGGTTTTCTGTCAATATTTGTGAATGAAGAAACACTATTGTACTCCCGATAGTTTGTGACGAGAGTGAGGCCATATGCAAATATGCAACCCCCAGGATGATTATGACATCATTGAAAGTACAAATATTAAAAAATCTGTTGAGGGACTACTAGTATGTTTGGAGTAAGTCGCGACATTGAAAAGAACACGTTGGACATGTTTAATGTAGATCGTGGGTATTCGTCCAATATAGATGAAAAATGTCACATTTTTTGTTTCACAAGTGTAACATAATTATTTATTTGGACACATACCAACATTTTTTTTATTTTCCTGTACGATTTTTTTCTCAATAAAAAATGTAGGAAATTGCATGTTGTAAAACAATTTACATAGGAATCCACGCATTATTTCATTAAAAATGTTTTCACCATATGTTATCAAACGAAATGTTGCTACGTGTTTACCATGGAAACCTAATAAAACTAAGTCGCTCAAAAAACAAAATGTTTATGAATGTTTGATTTGTGAAGTAGTTTGGTAAAATCACGGATTCTCGAACAAAAAACATAAAATACAACTCAAAATGTAAGGACATCAGATTCGTAGTATTATCGGTGGCGCCATCTAATCGAAATAAGATACGTGTTCATCGCATGGCTCATCGATTACCGGTGTACGGGCAAAACTTAATTAAAACTGCAGTGACTCAATTGGGCTTTCCTGGGTTTCCGCCAGGAGTTCTCACTTTTTTCCCAGTCATATGCAATAATAACTTAGCCTGTTTAAAATAACTATGCGGCCTGCAAATTGATCGCGTTAACATGGTGATCGCGGACAACGACTCGGATTATCTTGCCCATTATTAGTTGTGGTTTTGACGGATGTTAACTAGCAAGATTTGACGTGAAAAATCGCCTTGCGCCGTTTTGCACTTATTTTATAAATTCTTTAATATACTAGTATTTCCATTATTCGTACAGCACGTAACTTTAATACACGTCACGGTGATTGTAAGTGAATAGTTTCCTTGTTGTCTGAAAATCGAATTACCGGATCTGGCATAGTCAAAAACATGTCGACTCCTACTCTCTTCACGAATTACTCTGGAGTCACTAGAAACAACGCTACAAACTTTAATCCAATGAACTGATCCTGGAATGTGAATGCGAGATGTCGACGGACAGTACGCCCTCTAGCATATATTTGTATTAACGACCCATCTGCGCAGTCTCACAGGATCGCCACCATTTTTAGTTCTAAACACAGTACTATTTTAGCAGGAAGTAGAATTGTATCAAGTAACTAGACTTTACTTGCTTATTTTGCCGACAAAGAGGTCATTGTACTCGTGAAGGATGATAGAGGCGGCTAGCTGATTGTTGTGACGGATTGAAGATGAAGAAGTTTTCGGCAAGAGGCTTAAAAATAACGTTTCATCGAAGGAACCACGAGACTGGTTTGAGCAATGACGAATCTGGGCGATCGCTGAGTTCAATAGAAGTGGCTGAACCAGATAGGCCTAAAACTACCATGAATGGCGAAAAGGGGAAGGAGAGCTTCATGCAGACTGTTAAAAAAAGATTTCGGACACACAAGAAAAGTCGCGGCAGGAGGGGATCGGCAACTTCTTCAGAAGACGCTTTTCCAACAACAATACAATCGTCGCCCAAACAAGGAAACAATATTAGCAGCAGTGGTTTAGATTATTATAATCGACCACCACGTCCACGACCCTCCGTGTACAGCAGTATGCGGGACCGTAATAGACGATTTACTGGGCCGTTACGTGCCTTTAATTCAGAAGAGGCCTTGGACAAATTCGAGGTGCATGTAGAAGTGCACACCGAGGGTAAAAACGATATAGGGAACGGCGGGGGTGTTACTGGGACAAAAGGAGAAGTGACGTCACCGATTGAAGAAAACAAACCTATTCCTAACGGTGATCATGTCAGTGACCTTTACGAGAATATGAATGTTGATCATAATACTGTGAGACCATCTAATGCTCCTCAAACTAAACATCTAGCACCTGTGATTGATTACAGCCCAGTGCATATCACACCCAAGGACACCACTGCAGGTGATCAATGCAGAAATTGTACTGGAAAGGACACTGTGAGTCGCAAGGGACCACCTATACCAAAACGACCCCCCAAATCAGGTAAAACTTTTAAAGCAGTAACTATGCAGAAATACAGTCAGGCTTACATTGATAAGGCTTATGATACTTATGAAGTCGAACAGAAAGATATGCCAACACCCGTATATGATCTAGTTAATGATCAACCACATAATAGCCTAACTCGAGAATTGAACAAATTGTCAAAAAGACCGTGGTACTGGGGTCCGTTGACTCGCAATGAAGCTGAAGAAAAACTCAGTAACATGCCTGATGGATCATTTCTTGTACGTGACAGTTCTGATGACCGTTATCTGCTGAGTTTGAGCTTCCGTTCTAATGGGAAAACGCTGCACACCAGAATTGAACACTTCAACGGTCTGTTTAGCTTCTATCCTCAGCAAGAATCTGAAGGTTACTACTCAATTGTTGATTTGATTGAGCATTCCATGAACGACTCTAGAGCGGGTGTCTTTTGCTATTCCAGAGAACGTTTGCCCGGTGTACGCTCTTATCCAGTCCGTCTGACTAATCCTGTGTCCCGTTTCACCAAAGTCCCCTCCCTGCAATACCTATGCAGATTTGTTATCCGTGAATTTATCCGTAGGGATCATATCCAGCGACTGCCACTCCCTAGAAGGATAAAGGGGTATTTAGAAGAAAACCACTTTTGATGTGTCAGCATAATATCAAGTTTGTTTGAGATGTGCATAGTAAATGATATAGTGGTTACATGTGGTCAACTTATAATCACACTCCTGGGAGAAAACAGACATTGTATTACACAAGATATTGATCATATTTCTTTTTTGAGAATTTTTTTTCTTTATTTTTAATATTCTGCTTTTTATTATACTTAAACCCCCAAAGAGTTAAAAAACACACACCCCCTTTACTGCAATATTTATATTGATCTAGTGGAGTTAGTGAATTCAATGTCCCCTCTACCTTGAGTTTGTTTTTTTCTCACATGCAGCGTAATAATAGTTGATATATCATATGTTAAGACTGTAAATAGATATCCCAGATTGCAGTAATTCATAAATATTGTTTCCCGTGGATCTGATTCTTTTGGCTAATATTCCAAATATCATCATGTTTGCCTGTACACAATTGTACATAGTGAAAAGTACTATGTATATTTAGTAGATTTTTAACATCGGTAAATTAACATGAAGTTGCAAATTATTATTTTTTATGTGGGAGGAAGTACTCTCTGTTCTTGTTGATAGATCAGATTTCTCTATAAGAAATCCATACATTTTTTTAAGTAAAAGGGAGTATAAACAATAACTGAAAACAATCTTTATTGCTTAAATTTTTACTTATATTTCTATGCCAGCAATGCAAGTGATTGCTTGACGCGATTTCCAGTTATTTGGTGTGACACTTTTTTTTTTTAAATACCAGCTTTATTCTCCAAGTACATTAAAGTCACTCTGAACAGTCGGTTCTAATTTTTACATGACATGTTTTGGCAACGCATGTAATCACCACACCCATATCATTATCAGAGCATAAAATCCAACATACTTGCATGTATAGCTAGTGACTCATACATACCAGAAATTGCCTTTTGAAATTGGCCTGGAAGCTAAAAAACAGTAATGCAACTGATTAGAGGTGCTATGTTATTAAAATGTCTTCGAAATTGATGGGATTTGCTGGGACTTTCTAGGGCATTATGAAGCGCCACCCCCATCTATGGATAAGCCACTTAGCCTGACAATAAATGCAGTAGAGATAATTAACATATTCTATTGTTATGCAAATGAGTTATACTTTCCAGGGGTATACTGACAGGGTGAAAATTAGCTCTTCTGGGTTTTGATTTTGGTTGAGTGATCACTCTCCTGAGAAAGTAAAATCTGAGGTACAGAAAACACAATAGTTTTTGAGAGACTACAGTCTACTGTAGATTACATGAAGCATTACTGTAAGCTATGTCAGTTTAATTCCTCTCCATACAGCATTATCACTTATTTTTATCACAGATATTCTTTCCAGTCAGATTAACATACTTGCAAAAATTAGTGTCTAAATTGGATACAAAATTCAAGGTCTCTTTATCACAACTCAAAAAATTCAGAAAAATAGTTTGAATACCGGAAACACTGGTATCTGTACAAGATCCTTGCTGCAAATCTTAATTAGAATTAATGTGACCAGTAGATACTTAGTAAAGTAAGATTTTATTTGAAGAAAACAAACAAATACTGTATTTGCTTTTTTAGAAGCGCATAAAAACCAAAAATAACATTTGCTGTATACTGAATTATATAAATACTACCTAATTTGTCCATAGTAATATTTCTTATAATTTACGTGAATGCATTGGCTGCTAATAGAGCAAATACAACGAAAAGTAGTAACAGTAGTCATGTCAAACATTGTGCAATCCAATAGTTTGAGAAGCCCCCTCCCCAAGGAGTACTACATGTAGTCATATAGTTGTCTGCTCAACAAAATTGTATTAATTACAGAATACTTGTGTATGCAATTTTGAGAGGAACAAGTAAACTGGTATATACTGAAATCAGTATGTCTCTCGTGGTGTTAGGATTTTAGTTAGACTCTAAATAAATCACAAAATAGCACATTACCATTTTCACCAGATATACTTAATATTCAATTAAGATTTACTAGTAATCAAATTTGAAGGCTCAATATCTATACCATATTTGCTCTATTAGAAGTACAGAAGACAATGTATACTTGATTTCCACATTACAACTTATTTTGACCATAGATATAACTACGTATACACATGCGCTACTTATAGAGTCAATACATTTATGTCATTATGAATCACTTTGAGAGAAGTGATGCTTTAAACAACAGTCCGTCTCAACTGCGTAAAAAAGGCACATGTGACTGACGACAGTATTGGGTCAGTACACTTCCATGAAAAGCACACTTTAGCTTTCACATGATGTGCTTGTAATAGAATTAATATGGTAATGAACACATTACTTTCAGTTTTCCTGCAATTAGCATAATTGATTATTTGTATATCTTTTGATGTGCGTTGCCACCTCCATGTATTAAACAAATACTGACTCGGCATTTCACCTTAAATGTATGTCATTGCATCCCAACCTACATTTATATTTTGATTTTTAGTAGGTACTTAAATTTAACGTTAAAATATTGACGGTGATTTCATTAGAACAATTTGAACATGCGAGCCGCAGATACATTAAGATAAAACTCAATACAATTCTCTTTATAATTCTTCCCTTTGTTCACGGAAAGTACTGAATTTGACTGTCATGTGCATATTAAAATTGAAAGAGGCAGTAGATTTGGTCTATACGACATGTCTGTAACTAACCTGGGAGGTGCTCCTCCAAAATCATAACATGGGATGTAGTGATACCACTTTCTTGTGTTAAAACAGATTGGTTTGTGCCTTATATTATAATTGTTTTAACAGGCTGGTACCTAAACACCATATCTACAGGGGAGATAATACTATATATGTAACAATCCATGTATATTGTTACAAGCATTATTTAAATATTTTGACAACTGACCACATTGTTCAGTGGACGCTAGATAGGCTTTTATTGGTCATAATTATGAATACCGGTACCCTCGGGAGGCATCAATGAATGTACTGAATTGTGACATTGACATCCAGGATGCAGTGTAGAAACTTAAAACCATTATGTAACTATGTAATATTCATTTCTGTTTATATACATTAGTTTGGTTTACATTATTTAATTTTTCTTTAAATGAATAATAACTAGAATTTGCTGGAGACATTTGTTTATATTTTACTACATACAATGTCAAGAGATTTCAAAAATGAAAAATCCATTCAGCAGTCTTTGTTGCTCTTTCATCAACATAGAATGCCGTCTTTCCAGCTCTACTTGCAATACTATACATAGATTTGTTTATTTTTCCACATGTCCGTGACTGACTGGCTGGATTGATTTGAATTTGTATAAATGGACAAAAACTATAAGTTAATTCTGTAATAATTTTAGAATTCTGCTGGCAATATAATCAGATAATTAATTGGACTATCCGTTAGCGTGTAATTTGTCGTGTCACTGCGACCGTGGTGGATTGCAAATACATGTCAATGTCGGAAGGGTATGAAGTATAGCTTTAGTGGGAACATGTGAGCTATTAAGTGCATTGTACATACATCACAGTTAGTGGCCGAATGAATAATGTTATGTCTATATTAAAATTATATATCTACACTATGCTTTTGCTGCCATTTTTATTCAACTGTTAGAGATAGAATGATATGTGAGGTGTGCGAGTTTGACCACCTTTGCAAATTGAACCTGTTCATAGCCGAATTAAAGATGAGAAATGCGGGATGCATTATTAGTCCCCGTTCGGACGCAGTCCGAAAACGGGGACTTATGTTTTTACCTCTGTGTGTCGGTGCGTCTGTGCGTGCATCCGGAACTGTATCTTAGAAATGCCTGGACCAATCACAATCAAACTTCACACATACATCATACATGCTATTATACATATGCACGTCAATTTGTTTCACGATCTCATTCAAGATGGTGGCCATTTTTGTGCTAAAAATCATCTAAATCAAGCATTTCTTGGCTGTTTACAGATGGATTTTGTTCAAACTTGGTATATACATTAGACATTATAGGACCTTGATGCACATCATTTTGTTTTACGATATGATTCAAGATGGCCGAATGGCGGCCATTTTTGTGCTAAAAAATCCAAAAAATCAAGCATTTCTTGGCTGTTTACAGATGGATTTTGTTCAAACTTGGTATATACATTAGACATTATGGGACCTTGATGCTAATAAGATTTAAAATGGCCGACTAGCGGCCATTTTGTATTAATGAATTTGGTTCTCGTGCCATATCTCTGACTTGCTTTCACTGATATTGTTCAGATTTTAAATATTCATTATACATCATGGTTCTTGATGCACATCATTTATTTTTCAGATCGGATTCAAAAGGCTGTCTGGTGGCCATTTTGCTTTAATGAATGGGCTTCTAGACCCATATCTCCGACTTTTTTTGACTGATAATATTTTCAAATTTTAAATATTCATTATACATCATGTCATAGATAAACAGATATATTGGTTTGACTATCCTATTCAAAATGGCCGAATGGTGGTCATTTTTGTGCTAAAAAATATCAAGCATTTATGGGTGGATTTCGTTCAAACTTGGTACATACATTAGACATTACGGGTTCCTGATGCTCGTCATTTTATTTTTCAGATTGGATTCAAAATGGCTGACTGGCGGCAATTTTGTTTTAATGATTGGGCTTCTAGATCCATATCTCTTAAATGCTTTGACTTATTATATTTAAATTTTATATGTTCGTTATACATCATGTTATATATATACATGTATTCAAAATGGCTGATTTTGAATGCTTTTCCAGAGCAATATCTCCCAATATAGACAAGTACTTGTTTGAGGATCAGATACAAATGTCAATCATTTTAATGTTAAAAAATCATATTCCTGACATATTACTATAAACAAAACTATATATCTTAAATTTGATAACTAACGGGGACTGTGCCATGCATGGCTTGTGTATTTTTAGCTCCGCTGTTGACGAAGTGGAGCTTGGCTATTCATGGTTTTGACTTCTTCTCAAAAGCTGTTGGCTGTATGGGTTTCATACTCACTACAAATTTACTTTGGATGGTTCTCTCCCAAATTTGTTAATTTATTGACAATGCCTTTAATTTTCTGATTTTAGCCTGAGTAAATATTTATATCATTTTATTTGGTAAATGCTGCTTTTGACTTCTTGAAAAAGGCTACCCCAATTGCTTTGATATTTTATATGTAGATTCTGTGAACAATGCCTTCAATTCTCTCAGTTTAGTGAATACTTTTGTCATTTTTTGTGAAAACTATACAGATTAGCTGACAGACTGCTTGTTATGACATATTTTAAACACCACAATATGCTTAATCACTGCAAATTTCTGATGAGATAACTGCAAAGACTTGGATATGACAGTTGCAGTATAAAATGCAACTCTTCACTTCAGTAGTGCAATTTCGAACACAATAACAATGAAACCTCAGTCAGTTCATAGCGAGTGGATCTTGCTAATCAGATACAGCAACATGGTTATGGGAGACACACGAGGTGGGGGGTGGTTTGGTCATTATCTGTTTTGATGCTTGGTCATAGTCAAGGATGGTCAGTTTTTCATGGGCCATTCC